TTAGGTGTATATGGCTGGCGCCTTAGCCACTTGAGCCACAGGCGCCGAACCTATTGCTGCTTCTTTATGGAGCTCATGAACTGCACATTTTTAAAAAGCCATGTTGCCTTTCACTTCCTTCTAAGTTCTTAGCATCGCCCCTGCACAAATCCATTTGAAGCTATTTGTTACAAAATTAGACCCAACAGCTATATCTGACTTTTCACTGCAGCCTACTGCAGTAACCACTGACATTTAAATCCTACAAAGGCAATATTTTTAGGAAGCACTGTAATTATAAACTAAGGATCCTTTTGCCTTTACCACAGGCTCATTTGGAAAAAGGCATCTACTTCTCTGCCCTGGTTTACTCACTTGGAACATGTTCTCACTGTATGTATGCATGTATGTTTGTATGTAGACAGACAGAGACAGTCTCAGTCTGTTGTCCCAGGCTAGAATGCCATGGCATCAATCTAACTCACAGCAACCTCAAACTCCTGAGCTCAAGTGATCCTCCTGCCTCAACCTCCAGAGTAGCTGAGACTAAAGGCATCTGCCATCACACTGGCTAATTTTTCTATTTTCAGTAGAGGCCGGTCTCAAACTCCTGAGCTCAAGCAATCATCCTGCCTTGGCCTCCCAGAATGCTAGGATTATAGGCATGAGCCACCACACCCAGCCAATATGTCCCTACTTTAAATCTTCCTAATAGCTCTGGTCTGAGAAGCATATACTGTTCACTCCTATGAGGTCAAGGATAGAATCTATTTTACAGACTGGAAAAGCTCAGGTCCCAAGGGCACTGAAATAATTTGCAAACGGGAAAAAAGTGGTCCTGGGACCCCAAATCTCAACTCTGAAGCAGATGTTTTAGACACTATCAAAATACCCCATTCCCCAGAATGGCCAAGAAGCTCCCCCACTACTCATGGGCTCTGTGGTAGGTGCTATGAATACAAAGGTAAATAAGAGGAGCAGTTGAGAAACTCGAGTGTGGGTGAGGGGCACAGACATAACAGAATAATCAAGTAATATGAAGTATAGACTTCTAAAATATAAGTAACACTGTCCTTAAAGAAATCAAACACAAGACCCAAGGTTTGCAATGTAGTCTGGAAACCTCAGAACTCTATGCTGTCCTATGAGCCATATTTCTCCCTTGAGGCTTCTCAATCTTGGAGTCACTACCACCACCACCCAAGCATCCTTGGGGGGATGCTCTGGCCTAGGTATGGACAGACTTCTCCCTAATTTCTGCAACACAGTTACAAGGCTAGAACATTCACACAAAACTTTACCACAAAAAGCTCAGAGATGATAAAAAAAGGCAATGAACACAAACAGAATCTCACATTAGTCTAATTTATAAGGCTTACTTATCTTCAACTTACAGAAGTAATTGTTATTACCACCTAGACATCTTGCAGTCCAGAACCAAGAAAACACAGCCCAGAAACACATGGAGTTGTTTCTCTTAAGTTCCTAGTTTCTTGTGTCAAGCTAACCAACATTGGGAATACCACTCCCTATAATATTAGGAAAACCAAAGATACTGGTATTACCCTATAGTCCGAACAGGTAGGTCATTTTTTACAATACAATACAACACAACAAGCCCAGACGAAACCACACTTGGGCACTAGCACAGTGGGACAAAATGCTGTCAGGGCACAGAATGGGATATGATAAACTCATGGTGTGGGCTTTCCTCCTGGAAGGCTAGCTACCCTAGCCTTAAATGATCTTCCCTGCTATGAAAACCTTTAATCCAGGTAGCTGAACACTCAATTATAAAATACTTTGCACCATCTTTTAATTATTTCTCAACAACTGTAAGTATCTCCACAAATTCTCTTTTCCTGATACTCCTTCATCCACGAAGCCAGGCACAAGAGACGCTCAGGTAGATATGGGGGAACTATCTGTATAAGTCATAGATAATTTGTCACAAACTTCCTCCACCTTAGAAGAAATGGTTCCGAGTAGGAAACTAAGATTTGTTTTTGACTAGATGCCTGAAGTGAGAGTATCACCCTGAGGAAGTGTCTGAGCTGATACAACCCCACCCATATGCGGTTTCCTCAGTCTTGATTTCCTAAACATTTCTGAGGGAAAAGAAATGGCAGATGAAAAGATAACATATAACCTTCCAGGTCCCAACGGTCCAATGGTCCAGTTCTTGAGGTACTAATGTAGATAAAGGACTCCTTACAACTAGGCCTCAGCTAGTTCCCAGTTCCCACATGCCAGTCTTAGGCCCCTTCAGGAATAGTGCAGCGGGGCCCTATCACCTCCCCAAAGCTACTTTCTGCACAATAGTTTATAAACCAATGGCCAATGTCCCTCAGGATCAGAACTTCTGTGTGAAACACAAGAACTATTCCAATGGTATGGTAGCCTTAGGCTTTACTGGCTCAGAGAATAGCTGCTTGTTCCCTTCTTCCTACAACAGGCTCCTCTTGCTCTCATCTATGACAGAAGTGGTATAAGAGCATGTGTATGTGTAGAAGGTGGGGCACGAAATCACAGCTATTCTTAAGCATGTATAAAACTGCTGCACATCTCTTTGCACGCCATACCTAGCTCGGGTCTTAGAAGAATGGGCGTGTCTTTGAAGGGACTGGCCCGCCTCCTGCTGCAACCCCACCCACCGGGCCCCTCTTCTTCGTTCGCCCAGCGCAGTGCTCTGTCACAGACCTACCCCACACCTGTCTCGCCAGCTGCTTCTCCGCCTCTCCCTTCCAACCACTGCTCGGAAGTCCTAGGTGCCGGGCAGCACTGGCCGCGCGCTGAGGGCATGCACTCTATGAAGGCTCTGCAGAATGTGCTGCGCCAGACAGAGGGCAGTCACTGCTGGCAGGGAGGCAGGGGTCACCTGATCTGGCACCTCCTCAGTGAGGCAGGGGCACAGGGCAGAGAGACTCTGCACAGCCACCAACCACAGCACTGGGATCATGATTCATCAGAGAGTAGCATGCTGTCTTGCCTGGGTGACTGTGGCCGAGAGACAGGAAGGAATCCCTATCCATAAGTTCACTAACGCACTGAAGGCCACTGGACTGCAGACAACAGATCCCGGGCTCCGAGACTGTATGCGCCAGACGCACCCAATGGTCCAAGAATCCAGCAGTGGTGGCCTTTTAGACAGAGAGCTCTTCCAAAGGTGAGGGCCCTAGAAACAAGGGCACTGCTCTCCAAACTGTTCTGTGGATGTAGACTCTCATAGCAGGACAGAAGAATCTTGGGGATTGTGTAGTGCAACCCTTCATTTTATTACTCAGTAAATAAGTAACACATCAATAAAAAGAAAACAAAAAACTGCTGTACATCTCCCTAGAAGACTTGAATCCAGTTTTGGGGTAGAAGTCACATTAGATACGTTAGATGCCCTTCTAGTTCCTGCATCAATGATCAAACAGTGCTATTTGTATTAGCCTTGTCACAGTGGTGCCCTGGGCCATTTGGCTTTGAGGTGCTTGCTTTGTAGCATGGCCAGCTTCCTCTGAAAGCACCTCTTTTCTAACCTGGTCACATAGCAATTTGGACAAGAGAATACTACAGAGACCAGCTGGCGCCAAAGAGGAACTGGCAGGGTGGCAGAAACTCAATCACACAGACAGAAAATGGGTCAGTACATTATGGCCCTCAAAACCTGTACTTGGTGACTAAAAATCACTGAACTCTTGCTCTTAGCTAAGAGCTATCTCCAGGGGTCCATGGAAGAGAAAACTGACAGGCCCCCACACTGCCTGGACTGTTGTCACTCTTACAGGGCAAGAATCTCTCTCTGTCTTTTTTTTTTTTTTTTTTTGCAGTTTTTGGCTTGAACCCACCACCTCCAGCATATGGGGCCGGTGCCCTACTCCTTTGAGCCACAGGTGCTGCACAGGGCAAGAATCTCTTAAGGGTAGCACCTGTGGCTCAGTGAATAGGGCGCTGGCCCCATATACCAAGGATGGTGGGTTCAAACCCAGCCCCAGCCAAACTGCAAAAAAATAGCCTGTTGTAGCAGGCACCTGCAGTCCCAACTACTCAGGATGCTGAGGCAAGAGAATCACCTAAGCCCAAGAGCTGGAGGTTGCTGTGAGCTGTGATGCCACAACAGTCTAGTAGGGGTGACAAAGTGAGACTTTGTCTCTATTAAAAAAAACTCTTAATTCTCCTTGTGTCATCTGCTTCTGCAGCACACATTCACAATGCCTGGCACAGTGGCTCATGACTGTAATCCTAGCACTCTGGGAGGCTGAGACAGGTGGAATGCTTGAGCTTAGGATTTCAAGACCAGCCTGAGCAAGAGCAAGACCCCACCTCTAAAAAAAATAGCCAGGCATTGTGGCGAACACCTGTAATTCCAGCTATTGGGGAGGCTGAAGCAAGAGAATCACTGGAGCCCAAGGTTAGAGTTTACTATGAGCAACATAGTGAGAATCTGTCTCAAAACACACACACACACACACACACACACACACACACACACACTCAGGAGAACTGAAGTCAAACAAGAGGGCTCTCAAGATGAAGACATTGCCTGGCTCAACACTGAAAGGTACCTGCTCTGATACAGGCTTTCTTTTTTTTTTTTTTTGAGACAGACTCTCACTATGTTGCCCTTGGTAGAGTGCCATGGCATCACAGCCCACAGCAACCTCAAACTCTCGGGCTTAAGCAATTCTCTTGCCTCACGTTCCCAAGTAGTTGGGACTACAGGCACCCTCCACAGTGCCCGGCTATTGTTTGGTTGCAGTTGTTTAGTTGGCCCGGGCTGGGTTCGCACCCACCACCCTCGGTGTATGTGGCTGGCACCGTAACCACTGTGCTACAGGCGCTGAGCCATGATACAGGCTTTCTAAGGACTAGCTATTAACAGTAATGACTTATGTTCTCTGTGATTAAATTTTAAATCCATACAAGATCTCCGTATTCCTTAACTCATTAGTGACTAATTTCTGAACATAGCTTTCTTGGTAAGATAGAAGGATGGTATGTCTCAAAGAGTTGTCAAAGTAAAGCCTTCATACCTTAGATGTGAGGTCACGATGAAAGATGCCTTTAAAGTGAAGGTAGCTGAGGCCCACTGCTATGTCATAGGCCAGTTTTACCCTCACAGACCAGGGCAAATGCAGGTTACTATCTAGCAACTGTTCCAGGTTCCCAGAGTTGATATACTGAAAAACAGAAGGAAAAACCAGATACCATTTACCAGAAGTGTTAGGCTGATGGTTTACAGAGTGAACACCTAGAAGACAGAGACCATATATTTTTTTTTTAAGTTACCAAGGCCTTATTCTGTATCCAAGCACTATGGTAGGTGCTGCACACAAAGATACCTTCCCTTTGGGAGATCACAACCTGTTATGGGATAGGGACAAACAAAATCATATGGTAAATATTTTTCTCTTCTTTCTTTTTTTTTTTTCTAAGACAAGAGCCTCAAGCTATCGCCCTGGGTAGAGTGCC